TCATTAGTGTATAATCACCTGTTTTTGTTACCATAGAACGAGCCTGTTTTCTCTACAGTGGGAGTGGGTCCTCTGGGCTCTGGATAGGGTCTTTTACAGTTTGCAGTAGTTTCTCCTATAACTTTGGAATGGGAGGGTGAGGCGATAGTGTTGTAACCTGCAACTTCACCACTAGATGCCCCTAAATCCTACACACTGGTCCTTTAATGTTATGCTACATCTGGAAGGTTCAGGAACCCCGTACATGTCAGAATACCACGAAGGTTCACTAACAGCTTGGTGACTGAGTTTGAATCAGTTCTAGGACTGTGTAGATACTTCTTTTTTTTCTTCCAAATGAATTCCAGGTGTCCGTGTGGTCACCGTTGGGAAATCCTCCAATCCGAGTGTAGGTTAGCCTGGTTGTGATACATTACATACAGTCATGCATACTGCAGACAATGCTCAGTAGTTCATTTTTTATTGGTTGATTAATGACTGATTACACCGACTATTGTTTTGAGTAGACTGCGTTTGACTAATTAAAGATCAAAGTGTTTAGTCAATTGTAGAATGCTGAATCATGTTGATTTACATCTTCAGGGCCAAATGAACTACAGTTATTATTTAGATTCTGCTTTCTGTTATGATATTGATCAGTCTGCTTCCTATAGAAAAAATGTCAACAGAAGAGTTCTGATTGAAACAATATTTAATTTCTCCGTGTCCAGTGAAGGTTCATTAGAACTAATTGCTTCTGTTGACCATCAAAGGTTAGAACCTGAATCACCGCTTTCAGCTACTTTTCCATATGCATTCTTACAGCTTTCTGTAGACTTCATCTTTCAAGCTGAACTTACTATGCACACATGGCTGGATTGGCTTTCTTCCCTGGTGCACATGATGCAGCTAGCATTAAGAAAACAAGACTTCAACAGAGGCAACATGTATAATGTGACTGATGATTTCTCAAGAGATGACAATTGAGCATTTAAAGGAAAATTCTACAGAGATCATAGATCAACACAGCGCCATAAAAGCAGCTCACCACAGAATGCCCTGAGCACTAGTGTGTGACGTTGCTGTTTGACATTTTAAAGTCTTGGCTGTTGTTTGGCTTCTTTGTAATGAAAGCATTTTTGCACCAGCTCCTCAGCTAGCTTGAATTTGCTCAGTTTGCAGTTTCTGACACACAGTGTATAGGATAAGACATTCTTACTGGGATGAAAAGTGCCTGCTAAAGTTAATTAATAGATTGCAATTCAACATAATACAGTATGTGTACTGTGTTGAAAGGGTAGGAAATGAAGATGGGAGTGTGCTGTTGTGCTCTGTGTGTCTGCCTGACACACATAGAACATATGGAACAGAGTGTTCACTGAGTACACTGTGTTCTCTGAAGCAGAGTGTGTGTGTGTGTGTGTGCGCAGAAATGGATTTCCCAGTGTAGAGAATTGTATTGCATGCAAGTTTCTGTTGAGGGTTGAACAGAACACTGCACTCTTCTAACAGTGTTTAACAGCAGTGTTATGGGAATTGTTAGATTTCATAAGAAGGTTTTTCCCTTTTGCTCATCAGCAGTAAAATGTGAAACAATGAATCACATCAGCATTTTCACAAAAGGTTGAGCTCAACCCTGATACATTTGAATTGCCCATTGTTGGTAATGATGTTATTCAGGGCTAAAATAGATTTCACATACAAATCTCATACTTTTTGAATGTAGTTTTGATTGTTTTCCTATCTTTAAGGCAAGTTTTTTCCCATTAAGTTACATTATTGTTGTATGGTTATGTAGTCTAGACTTTCAAATCAGTTTACTCCTTAAGCTGCAAAATCTACAAAGATAAGCATCTCTGCCTTGTTGCAGCTCAGTCTTTATCTTCTAGTCCAACATGTGAGACGCAGAGCAGTACTTGCATGCAGTTTGTGCTGGAAAACGGAGGTGATTACTTCTCCAATATAAGTTTGAAATAACCAGCTGTGCTTCACGTTCCCCTCCCCCACTGCCACCACCGAGGTGCCCTTGAGCAAGTCCCTTGACCCCAACTGCTCCAGTGGAGCTGCTCAGTGGGGGGGTCACAAGCTGCTTGAATGTGTGTTTTGTGGGTGGTTAAACTTTCCTTTAAAAAAAAAAAAGTTTTAATAGTTATACATCTTCTGGAACAATCTGTGTGTTTGCCAAGCTCAGACATTATGCAACCTGTGACAACAGGCAGCAGGTACATACTGAATCACCAGCACATAGGTATGTCAAATGGAAATTCTACTCACTGATTCTGGTACTGAGTGATAAAATTCATATCTGAGCAGTCCAAACTGCTATGTGTGTGTGTGTGTGTGTGTCACTGTGGGATGAATCGAATGTTTTGGTGAAAATTGCCACTGATTTCATGAGTTAATGTGTCTCTATGCAATGTAACAGATGTGAAACTCTTATGTTTAACCATGTGTCTTGCCTTTCTATTGTGTTTTAGTTTCTATGAAGAGCCAGTTGACAATGTCAGTGCCTTACAGAAGATTAAGCTGACAGACCTGCCAGTTTGTTCTTGTATTTATCTTAAGAAGACTTATGAACAGAAACCATATGGTACTAATAACTGCAATAAATATTTACTTCTTAACTATTTTAATTATGTTTCCTTTGAATTAAAGCTGGGTATAAATCACTATATCAATGATTGCAATAAGAAGACATGATTTTCACAGCACTACATCATTTATGTTTGGCCGCCATCTGTTGGCTGAGTCTAGTATATGATATGAACTAGAATTTGAACATCACTTAATATTTATTGTACAGATATTCTGGATAGAAAGAGCTAACAAACCAATATTCATTGTGGAAGCACGCTGTAAGAAAATGTTTTATACTACAAAATAATACACATATATACATACATATATGTGTATATGTATGTGCTTTTGAGGTGCATTGACTCAAGTATTTTTTTCTTAATCATACTTTTTATTTCCTTAAGAAAAATGACACAACTTAAAGCATTGCAAATAAAGTAATATGCACATCTAATCACATCAAAAAATAGTCAGAAATGATGGAGGAATAAAAACATGCAAATTAATAAAAGAAAATAGGACAAACGTACATCAATTTATATCCTCACCATCCCGCCCTCCTGTTAACTCACACACAGGATAGATGCTGTGTTCATGCTGTGTAGATAACAGAATAATTCTATCTTTACTTTCCATTTGTGTGCCTACACTGTCTGTCTACAATGAAACCTGATCTGCACTGTTGTTGCACCACTTGTGGTGACTGCTAATACATCCATAAGCGTTTGATAACTATGGTTGTAAATTATATCAAGCGTCTGAAATGTACACATATTTAATTATTCTAATGTCGCAGCATGGTGGTTCAGGAATAGCGACTTTATTTTGAAATGTGCACGGAAGTTGTACTTTATAGGGGCGAGAGAAGAGAAGGAGACAAGTGGGACACCTGCGGTCAAACATGTATCTTCCACTTCCCGTGTCCCCTTACAACAGTGATAATATAAGATGTCATCACATAGTTACAGCTGATTCATTTAGTTCAGTATCTCCAGCACCGACCCCCTCCTCTGGGCTATTAGCAGCTGGATAATGCGACAGCCGGCTGGAGGACGGTGTCTGCCTCTCCAGCCGCTGATTGACACTTTCCTGCAGATCCAATGGTCTCTCTCATTTGCTGATATGGCAACAAGCTAAGTCAAGTCAGCCACAATTAGCCAGACCGTGATCGAAAGCGTTGCGGCTTCACTTTTCAAAATAAAAGTACAAAAGGTTAACTCTAGTCATTATATGCGCGTAGGTTTTAACCATTGTAAATAATTGCAGGGAACTGAAAAAGAATATAAATAGTGAGGCTTCTCAGTA